TCTGACAAAAGCAGCCTGTGTGGCAAGAGGAAAAAAAAAAAAATCACATTCAGAAATCATTTACATGTTAAATTATTGACAAGTAACTCAATACATGAAAGGGCATTAAAGGGGAGAGAGGACATATACAGGCACTTAGAACTAGCTTTCCTACCACTAAAATAGCCTCCTGAGTTCTTTATGTGTCAGTTATAAGTTAAAAAATTGACAAAGTTAATCAGTACAAAATTCAGTAACCTAGGTCTTAAAATGTCTTTTTTCCACAGATTCAGTAGGCCTTGAGATCCTGACGTAAAAGGGTTTTAAAGCATAAAATAGAAATACTGAAAGTCTGCAATAAGGTTCACTCTATTAACACATTGCTGTTATTATTCTCATTTTATAGGTAAGAAAACTGAAAGACTGGACAAGTAATTGAGTCCTAAAACAAAAGATAATCTGGTGATTTAAAATACCCAAAGCATCTATAAAGACCAGACATTTAGACAGTGCTAATAAACAGAGGAGGTAGAAACTTATATGAATAAACTTCCAAATACAAAGTCTATAGTTCTTTAGTGTAGTATGGCTGTGTCTAGGAGTTCCCCAAAAGGCTCTTGCAGTCAGAGGTGGGAGGATCTAGGGTGTGTGACTGATTCATGGTGCAGTGCTAAACTCAACAGCATTAGGATAAGGGTATGAGTGCTACCGCCAAGTAGTCTGGATAGCATCAAAGAGGCAGAAACATGCCTTTAAGGTCCCTTGTTGCTTCTGCTATCCCTGCAAGCAAAGAGCTGCTTCTCCTTTGCAATACTCTGCCATGTGCCACTGTGCCTCGCAACCAGGAAACTTTGGACTGAAACCTCTACAAACTGTAAGCCCAAATCTTTCCTCCCTTAATGTATGAATGTAAGTATCTGGTCTCAACAACAAGTACTAAGATACAGTGTCATTATCTTCATGTCTTCTCAAAAGGATGTTGTCAATTAATCAACATTTCAACGTACTCTGATAGGGTCATAACAGTCCACCAACTTGTATACTATGACTATTACCTCTACATTAGTAATCTGAAAAATCTGGCTCCTTAAATTTCAAACCACCTCATACATTCAAAAACCTATTTTAAAACAAAGTAATACTTGTAAGAGAGCACAGCCTGTGTTTACACAATCATTCGCCAAAAGGGAAAAATAATTCTTTCAGGTTTCTACAGCCCTTAATACCTCTATGACAATGCTATGTTTGTAAATTACCGAAACCCATGCCATGAGTGTTAAGACAAAAGATGTAAAGGTAGAGCTGCTTTTTCTAAACTAAAACCTCAGCATTCAGGCTTAATGGTGGTGTCAACACTTAATGCATGTGGGGCTGCAGCTTGGGCACTCGGGTCCAAAAGGTTCCCCATCACTGACACAGACCTTCTTTCTCTTCTCTCTGCTCTAGCTACTCCCAAACCCAAGTCTGAATTCAAATTCCTTTAAAGGCAAAATTTACTGAAATATTACAAACTTACTCTTTGTTCTTTATCGCCTATCAAGCAAACAGATCTAAGGGTTGGCACCCATCTCTTGAATTCACTCATCCAGTTGTGTAATGTAGACTTAGGAACCAAAACCATATGAGGACCGGGAATGTTTCTATAGTGTTTCATGTACCCAAGAAGAGAAATTGTTTGAAGAGTCTTTCCCAGGCCCTGGAAGAGTTCAAAATAATCGTAAGACAATTAAAAAGAAAAAACAATGTGCGATCTGTATACCCCAGAACATATACAGAAAAATTTAAAAGAAATGGGACATGTTATCATAGCTAAAACACGGCAGGAATTTCACACTTAGTTATGTCATGTAGTCTTATCACCCTGTAAGGCCCAGGAAGTGATATTCCCAAAGTTACCTACCTAGCATATCTAGAAGTGAAACATTTCTTTTGACTCCATACATTTTCCCTATCAGTGGTTTTAGTTCTATGGTGGTAAGTAATCTTTTAAAAACCTTTATTATATATAATAAGCAGTAAACAGGATAAACAGTTGCATCAAATAGAACTATACAAAGCTGCCACCCTGGAAAACATGAATATGTTTGTACAGATGATAAACATTAAATGATCTAATCTGAGGAAAATGTACATACTACTTCAAAAGTACAAAAGTTGGAGGCCAGCGATATAGCTCAGCATAGTAAAGCACCTGCTTAGGCAAGCGCAGGGACCAAGGTTCGAAAAACCACAAAACCACATGTCATGCCAGTCCTGCCCCCAGGGAGGGCTGAGCCAACTGGGGCGCAGTGGCACACACCTATGACCCCAGCGCTGGGAAGGCTGAAAACGGGGGGCCCACTATAAGTCCGAGACCCTGCAACAATCAAATACATATAAAAAATAATAGTAATAAAAATAAAAAAACTACAAACATTTAAAAGTTTCTCAAAATAAAGTATTTTGAAACTTATTCTACTCTCACAGGTGATAATTCCTTGAGGAAGAGCCACCGAAGCAAGCTGCTTCCAGCAGTTAGAAAGAAAATCAGTTGACAACAGCTCCAGGTTGTAATTACTCAATAACACTGTTATACTGTCTCAACTTATTAAGTTTAACCTATGAAGTCTCTTTGTCAAGAAACCCTGAACACGTACCATCTCATCGGCCAGGATACCATTGATGCCATTCTCATACAAAGAAATGAGCCAATTCAATCCTCGGACCTGGTAATCCCTCAGCTTACCCCATTTCACATCTAGAATGAAACATATATATAAAATGCGCATTCTGAGGATAACACTTGAAACGGTGCGTTGACCTAATGACCTCCGCCCTGATAATTTGTTTACTCCATTTCAGTACAGTGCACACTCTGAAGACAAGAAAAGGCCCTCTCCTCCTTCACCCGAGGCACAGGAGGTCTGAGTGGGACCTACGCATGCTTACTGATCTTCCTCTTTCCCAGGGAACTTTTACTGTGGGCATTCTGCAAGTGCAAGTCCCCAAATGGAGCAAGAGCAGCTACAGAAGAAGAGTAACTGCACCGCATCTGGAGAGAGCCTCAGTGCACCCCAGACCACTCAGTCCTGTGCCCACTGTTCCCTGAAACCTACCGCCACCAATGCTGGTGACAGTACGTCTATCCCAGTGCTTTCATCTCTCACAGAAAAGGGGAGAGGTTCACAAGAGGATTTTCTTCCTGCCAACAGGGACATAAACAGGGAGGTCCTTTTTCTCTGTCTTTCATAACTACAGAGACAACTTTCAGGATACACAGAGTACTTATCCCCTCCCCCAACAAATCACTGCTCAAGGATGAAAAACTGACCAGTGCTGGAGAAAGTACAAAAATATGAGAAAAAAGCTGGGCATGGTGGTGCACATCTGTAATCCCACCACTAGGGAAGCTAGGCAGGAGGATCTTGGGAGCTCGAGACCAACCTGGGCTACAAAGTAAGCTCAAGGCTAGCCTATACTGCGTAACAGAGACCTTGTCTCAAAAAGACCAAAAAAAAAAGGAACGTGAGATATCATCCAAACTTCCTTTGCCAGGTACCATGTATTGGGCTCTGGACTCCAGCCTCATTTGAAGAGATGGAAAGTAGAGGCTGGGGAGGCGCTGAAGGTGCACATTTTACAGCAAGAATCAGATTCCTAACCATGCTTAAGTCCCGCTAAGGTTCAAGTAGCTCAAGGGGATTCACACACCAGCCATCCAGTGACAAAAGGAGGTTTGGAGAAAATTCTATGCCATCAGACAGAATAACATGTAAGTCAAACTTCAACTCCATGAAATATGCTATTGTTTGGATAATCACAAATAAGTTTCATAAAACATTAAGACATGGGCCAGGGATAAAGCTCAGCAGCACAGCACCCGCCAAGCAAGCACAAGGTCCTGAGTTCAATTCTCACTTAAAAAAATAAAACATCAAGACACAGAAAAACATTAGATGCCTTATATGGGAGAAATATAGCAGAAGGCAAAACTACTCCCAGTTTTAACGTACTACTAATAAACTCTTTGGCATTTTATACACCATTGAAACGTAGCACATCAATCATATAACAGTATCGCCTCTATCAAAAATAAATCTGAGGTTTATTTATAACCAACAAATATCTAAAATTACTAAAAATTCACCTATAAATTGTAGCTAAGACAAGTCCAAAACTCTAACAAGGGATGTTTCAAAGGGGATCTTTTAAAAAGTCAAGCAACTCTGTGTTTAACATACATGATGGAGAGTCTTCAAATCGAGTGCAAATATTCGTTGCTTTGGAGCTTTCTGTTAAGAGTTCTTCATCCTCCTCTTGCTCTGTTCTACGGTGTCGGTAACTGTTGAAATGAAAATTCATTGATTTGAGTTTTGGGGTCAAGTTTAAAACTATCAGCTATTGGCTGGGCACGGTAGCACACACCTGTGGCCCCAGAACTCGAGAGGCTGAGGCAGGAGGACTGCCACGAGTACAAGGCCAGCCTGGGTGATGTAGTTAGTTCAAAGCCTGACTGAACTAGACAGCAAGACCCTGCCTCAAAAACAAAAAAAACCAAAGAGGCCAGGGAGATAGCTCAGTGGCACAGCACCTCCCTAGTAAGCACACAGTCATAAGTTCAATTCCTGATACCAAAAACAAAAAAAGAAGAAAACCTACCAGCTACTATCTCAACCTAACTGTCAAGTAGCTAGAAGAACAGTACCTTCTCTAATAGGATATACATTTAGGCAAAAAAAAAGTAAATATCAGAAACTACTAGTAAATTTAAATCTGAAATAGTTTACATGGTTAATTTACAAGATATATAAAACTGTTATGAAAATATAGCAATAACTATGTTAACTACAGTTTTGATAAAGCCCCAAGCTCTGAAAAGATGAGACAGAATGATCATTAAGCTCAAGACCAGCCAGGGCAACTTAAATCCACTCTCAGAAATAAGAAGTAACAAGGCCGGCAAAATAGCTCAGCGGATTAAAGCACCTGCTTAGGCAGACAGTGGCCAGGTTCAATCCCCAGCATGCTGTGCTGGCCCCACCCTTGGGGCATGCTGAGACAGAGATTGAGACTGGGCGTGGTGGCACACCCTTAAGAGTTCAAGCTTTTAGGAGGCTGAACACAGGCAGATCACTAGAGTCCCATCTGCATAATGAGACTCTGTGGACCCTGTATTAAAATACAAAAAAAAAAAAAGTAACAACCAGACTTGAGTTAGCTGAGCATGATGGTGCTGCACTCAGCCCTCAGTGCCAATACACGTAAGCGCACACACAGGCACACACTTTGCATACATGAACACATACACATACATGCATGCATGCACACAAACACTCACACACATACATGCAAGACCATATTCAGATTTTACATCCTAACTGAGGGCTTGATACACCTTTAAGGCTCAGATGAGTAAAACCACTTATTCCCTAATTCTGAAGCTTGCAATTTCGTATATGCAACAAATACTTTCATCTAATTTAGAAAAGAAATGGTTACACCCTTGAGACCTTGCAGTGAATTTAATATTGGTTAGTTTATAATTTCCTATTTGAGACAACCTTGTGCATTAATGATTGCCATTTTCACACTGGGAATTATAGCCATTATATGGAGCTGAAACTGCCATATACTTATTAAGTACCTTTATTAGCCCCCCCATGAAAATTCTTTTTTTTTTTTTTTTTTTTTTGGTGGCACTGGAGCTTGAACTCAGGCCCCTGCACCTGCCAGGGAAGCACTTATTCTACTGACTCATCTCCCCGGCCCATGAAAATTCTTAGGAATTTATAAATTCAACATGTTACTTTCAAAAATCACCCAATGACTGCATACTTTTACAATAGTACACTCAATATTTAATTATTTATGCACTTACAACGACACCCTGCCAAACCAGCTGAAAACAAGGAGATAACTGCAATTTTTCAAAAACGAAGTGTTTTTGTTTTGTTTTGTTTTTTGGCAGTACCTAGGATTGAACTCAGGACACCTACACCTGCCAGGCAAGCGCTTATTCTACTGAGCTATCTCGCCAGCCCAAAAACAAAGTGATTTTGTTTCTAAAGAAGACTATCAAAAATAAGTTTGGCTGAATGAAGTATAAACTATTACTCACTCGCCAACTGAGAGCAAGTTCTGTTTCTCATCCTTTTTTATTCGTGGGCGCCCTGGTTTCATCTTCAAAGGTGAGGTCGGAGTCTTCTGAGCAGCAGGCTGAATGAAATGTGCAAACAGCTCTGTCTGCTTTAATAAATACTCAAATCTATTTGCTCGATCAGTTTGCTGCAAAAAGTTTAAAACACATTTGATCAAAACTTCAGCAATCAGTTCCAACATACCTGAGCTCAGCAATAAAAAGGAATGAAACGTGAGACATGACAGAACGGATGAGTCACAAGGGCACTCTGCCCGGTCGGACGCCAAGCAGCAAAGTCTGCAGCGTGTGTGTGGCTGCTCATGGTGCTCTGCCTGGATTATCAGACAAACTCCACAGAAGTGGAGAGGAGGTCGGGCCAGGAATGATTCCAAAGGCAGGGGCAGAAACTACTGTTGCGCTAAAGTCAATCAATTCCCAACTTATAATGTTAACTTTTTACAATAAAACTGACAAAAGAATGTTTAACATTCAAAGAAAGTATATCATTAAAGTGAACTTATTCAGAAACACAGGAAGAAAATGCACTGGTCATCATCAGACTGACACCAAGTTTTTGGAAACAGGGTCTTGCTGTGTAGTGAAAGTTGACCTTGAACTTGTTTATGTAGCCCAGTTGACCTAGAACCAACGGCAATCCTCCTGCCTCAGCCTCCCAAGGTGTATACCTCCACACCCGGCTGAGACCAACTTTAAAAAGGCATCAGGCTTAAAGAACATATTTTTAAATTCACAAAATTGGGGCTGGGGAGATGGCTCAGTAGGATAAGCGCTTGACTGGCAAACACAAGGATCTGAGTTCAATCCCCGGTTCCGGAAAAAAAAAAATAAATAAATTCACAAAATATTCAATAGCCCAATGCTGTTTAACACTATTCCCCCTTTCATATCTGCCATTTGTGGCCTAAATAATGGTGTGAATTATTCCTCTTATCCCACCAAAATGGAAAACTCTGAACACAAATGATCCCCAAAAACAAGTTTTCAAAAAGTAATGGAATCTAGAGCCTTTAGACAATAGACTTTACAGAAGCAATGAAGATAAAGAACAGAAAAACCAGTCAACACTATTGCCAATGTTTAGTGTCAGTTTTGTTTTTGTTTTGGTGTTTTTTTTTTTTTTGTTGTTGTTGTTTTTTTTGGTGGAACCAGGGATTGAACCAGGAATAGCCCTTGCGCTATTCTACTGAGCCGTCTCCCGGGCCCCATGTCAGTTTTAGAGAATTATAAAGACATTTTACCCACCACAAAGTCAAAGCTAGAGATTATATAAGAACTATGTATATGTAAAATTTTGTTTTTCCTTTTTTTTCGGTACTGGAGATTGAACTCCGGATCCTGCACTTGCCAGGCAAGCGCTTATTCTACTGAGTTATCTCCGTGGGCCCCTGTGTAAATTTTAAATTCATTTACTTTCACTTTTTAAGACAGGATCTTTCTAACAACTCAAGCAAATCTTCCTGCTTCAGCCTCCCCAAGTGCTGGCATTATAGGCATAAGCTATAAGAGCTATATATTTTTAAAGAAAAACATTGTTTTTAGAAAAAGAAAATCACACTACTGTAAAACTGAAGCCCAATCTGCTATCAGGAAAGAACATGGTCAGAGTCCCAAAAGACAGTCATAATCCAGCCATGCAAGGGATACATACCTATAATCTAAGCGCTCTGGGAGCCCGAGGAAGAAACTCCAAAGTGAGAGCCCTAGCCTGAGCACTTTAGCAAGATTCTGTTTCAAAATTTTAAAACAAAGTGGGGCTGTAGCTCAGTGCAAAGGCCTGTGCTTATCGCCCCCCTTCAATCAGCAGCCAGTTCTGCGCAACAAGCTGCCAGCCAACACCCTCCTCCCTTGCGACAGCCTACAGATAACAAGCCATAGCTTTTTTTCAAAACATATAAATTGTGCTGAACTGAGGTATATTATACGTAATGGTATATTTAATCCAAAATTACATATAATAAAAGCCTTCACATAACTACATGTTAGGGCTGAGGGTGAAAAGGCTATTATAATCACGTTCTGAAATCAAGACATTCAAGTAAAAGCTTTCAAAATATCAAATCTATTAGGGGTAAAGGACAGGTACTTTGTTGCTTGAGGCAATAAGGTTTATTTAAATTTATTTATTGTATTTTAGTACAGGGTCTACAGGGTCTCACTGTATAGACTGAACTCGTAGTGATCCTCCTGTTTTCAGCCTCCCAAGTGCTGGGATTACAGGCGCATGCAACCATGCCCAGTCTCAATCGCTGCCTCAGCACACACTTTCAGTGGTAGCACATAATCCCAGCATTTGGAAGGCTAAGGCAGGAAGGTGGCAAGTTCTGCCCAGCCAGTGACACACTGCCTGAAACAAAAATAAAAAGGGCTATGGTTACACTTAAGTGGAAAGGCCCTAGGTTCACATCCCAGTATCGAGGAGGAAAACAAAAAACTGTATTCACTTTTAAAGTAGTAATCATTTTAAAAAGCTGACCTGCAAATATATTTCCTTTAAACAAATTGACAGCAAAATAAACATTTACGTATATAAAATAGTAAACAGAATACGTAAGTCATGATCTATAGCTTGTATATATACACAACCATATGTACATGTCGTCAGAATTTTGACTGTTTAAGACTGAAAAAACTTGATGAATCTGAAACAAAGTCAAAGGATAAGGAAAAGGGCCTTTCTCAATATGTTTAAAGACCAATGCACCACACAGAGCTGGGAACTAAGCCAGGGAGGTAGGAGGACACTGCCTTGTCCCTGTCCACGAGCATGAGAACACCACGAGCACAGGCAGTGAAGCATTCTGTGCAGAGCACAGCCCAGAACGCCGAGTATAAAGACACAGTTATTCTGCTTTTCACCTTTCTTGACACTAAAATCTTAAAAGAGGTGAACAGAATTAGATAATTACAACATACTGTGTGGATTCACAGTACACTTCCAATTCAGCTTACATAGGTAAATAGATCCAGCAGTTATAGTATCCCATATTAGGCATATCCCAAACATACCTACCCAAACATTTTTGAATTTTTGAGATAAGGCCTCACTATGCAGTTCAGGCTGGCCTGGAGCTCACTGTACTGTGCACATGTAGCCCAGGCTGGCCTCGAACTCACAGTGACCTTCCTGCCCTGGCTGCCCAAGTACGTTACCACGTTTGGCCTGCTCAAATTCTAAAAACTAAACAGAATGCCTAACAAAAGCTCCACTGCATGAACATACCATTTTTTCTTCATAGGTGGGATCCGGCTCCTGGGTTTCTTTTTGCTTTCCAGGTGATGCATCATCAAACACTCCCTATCAGGAAGAAAGTCACAAGATTATCCTTCAAGAACTATTAGCTCACCACTACTGCTTTCTGCCCAAACACATCCTAGACAATATACTCCTGCCCCATGAAAGGAAATCTGATATGGATGAACGATGATGAGAATAACAACACATTTATACCAACTGTATAAATGGCACAGCTGCTGCCAAGATTAAAACAGCATTGTCGATATTATCCTAAAATTACTCTCCATACCAGTCATATGACCAAATATGTGTCTTTTCTCTGAAAAGTTACAAAACAAAACACTATGAATCGTGAAAGATCCCCTTTTAGCACACAACTGCACTCACCAATAGCACAATGTTGACATGGGAAGCGGCATTAGTAACTGATTTCCATCATCTGGACTATTACACAAAAGGTATCATATAGCCTACACTGATAACCTAAGTACTGACCAATTCCTGATTTAGTAACAGATGTGTTGTTCTTACACATGTATTCATCTTGACACTCAAATGTCACCAAAAAAAAAAAAAAAAAAAGGCAAGGCCAAGGAGATACATCGCTCAGCGACACAACGCCTACCTGGCAAGCACAAGGTTTGTGCTGAGTTTGATTTCCAGTACCACAAATACATAATCTTAAAAAGCAATTTTAGGCCAGGTGTGATAATACATGCCTATAATCCCAGCACTGGGCTGGCTGAGGAAAAAGGATC